CTGTTTACCTTCTGCTCTGATGTTTGCGAGAACACAGCAAACGGATTAATGCAGTCCTCGGGTTAAGTGGCGGGCCCTTCTCTTAGGAAGTCAGATCTTGCACATCAGTTGCTTGAGCAGACCCGGCTTTTCAATCAGGAGCTCCCCGCTTTTGTCAGCCCGGGGTCGCAACCCGCCCGGCAGGTTGAAATCTGCCCTTGCACATACGGTGGTGGGGTTCTTTGGGGGACTGAAGTGGTGGTGCAAGGCTTAAGGTATCCATTTCCCCCTGCATACCTCACAACTCCCCCTCCCCCCCAGAAAAACTAAAAGCAGAGCTGAAAAACTCAGGAGCGCGTTTCTAAGGGCGGCGATGGCTGCAGAAGGCTGCTGATGGACCTTCTGACGCACGCTGTACGTTCCTGCTTTGGCACCCTTCTCACTTCCTTGGGCTGCCTGCAGAATTGCAACATGCCTGGCGCATCACGGGAAGCCCTGCAGACTTTTAAATGCTATTTACTTCTGTTTGTTCCCCCTGGATGATCCCACTGCACTCCCCAACTCCTGCGCCATGGTGCAAAGGGAAATATTGTTCCCCTCCACCTTCCAAACATGCTCTCATTCACTGTAAGCCTCTGGCAAACTCCCCCAAATTGGGACAAAGTGGATGCGTAAGCTACGCATTCCCTAATAACCGTAGTCTAGCCTGTTTGTCACGGTAACTTTCTCTGGTCTGCTAATGTCCGTTCCTAATTTGCAGTGAGGAAGCATCCATTTCTATTAATAGTTAAGGTATAACTCATTTGAGTGCAACAAGCCTGAGTTAGCAGTGTCGTAAGGATTACAGAAGGAGTTTGTAAAATGAGACAGAGTTCAACCCAGTCCAGGGTTCTTTTTTCAAACTCTTTTTTTTTCAATCTGCGGAACTTGTTTAAAAAAAAAAAAATTCCTGGAACTCCTGATGAAGACACAAAGCTCTGATGATTTGGGTGTTTGAGTGGTTATTTTTGGCCTTAGTTTCCCACAGGAGCCCAACAGGTTCTCACAGAATCCGATGGCTGACACGGGGTGCTCGGTAGCTCTTTTTCCAATGCGGAGCACAGGGCACATTTGGGTCTAATATTAAAAAGCGATTTGGGCTACAGCAGCCCCAAAAGATAACAACTGTCCTTCTGGTTCAGCATTTCGGTTCCAGAAGCCCATCATAGCCCAGATGTCTTTTTCTGTCCCACTTTGGAAAGGGGACAAGCTAGCTCCTCCAGGGTGGTTTAAATTAGGAACTGCACAGCCCTGTGGTTTTTGAGAGGTTGTTTGCCGTGATTTTAGTCCAGGCTGTAATTCTTCCCCAACCTGGTCATTTGGTAACCAGAGGTGACAGGGCCTGAAGTGATGCCCAAGAGTTTACAGCAGGGTTTCTCAACCTTGGCAGCTTTCAGGTGGGTGGACTTCAACTCCCAGAATTCCCCAGCCAGCCTTCAGATATAGAATTGAATTGTTATATTCCCTCCTATTTTCATTCACCACTGTCTTGATTGTGTAGCCCAATGTTTCTCAAACTTTGCCCCCTTAAGATGTCTTGACTTTAACTCCCTCAGATTCCCC